GAGCCCTAGGGATAGTAAGCATCAGCATTGGCCAATTGGGGAGTTCCATCCAGTTTTCCGGCGTTGTGGACCTCTCCACCATCGATCTGGAGCGAGGGACAAGACCTTGACTTTCTCACCCAGCTCGATGACATCCAGGCAAATGGTGCAGGTGCTTGGACTCAGGCGCGCAGCGCGTGGCCGTTTTAGGGCATGGGCTACGTGGCCCCTCCGGGCCCCCATGGGGCCGTTTTAGGGCATCTTTTAAGTGTTGAACGAAGTACTCAGCCCGCTGAAAAAGGTGAGCAATGCATCCTGAAACGACCCGAACTTCCCATGGTCGGACGTGTCGACGTGTCTCTCCCCACGGAAGCCGCGGTTTCCGTGAGACGTCGTCGCCGGAGGTCCCACGACCACCACGGAACACGTCGGTTCCGACTGACTTGGACCTCGGAAGAAAGGACGACCCGCATCCACTCATGACCTGCGTGGAGTCGACCGCGCACCCAGAGTGGGCAGTCGTAGCTGTTTGGACATGGGGGTCAGATGTCCCATTTTCTAAGGTACGAACGGGTCGACTCCAGTATGCCTGTTCACAGATGCGGAGTACACCACTAGCCTAACTTCAACCCTTCAAGTCTGACCAAGATCGACCGAATACCAATAAAAAATAACATTGAGACTTCATCACCCAAGTCTGATGAATCTGTAGCAGCACCTGGAGCGTGGTGTACATGCCACCTTTCAAATGTTTGAAAATCTGTTGACACTTCAAACGCTCATTGGACCCTCAGTTCGCTAGGGTTTTGACCCTCACAACCAGGGTTTTGGACCGAACCAACATGTAGCAGTTTGTTCGGGTCCAGGGTCGCCTCTGGCAACTTCTAAATGTCCAAGAGTCTTGCGCGTGATTTCCTCGGGCAACAACTGGAAAGCCTGTGTGTGTCGGTCCAAGCAGTGGAAGCGAACCCCGGAAACCTCCGGAAATCTCGGTACTACCGGGACCTGACTTCAAGCACCTTGGAAAATGGGACGTGACCCGAACGAAAAAATAGGTTCTGCTGGTACCCACCGCCTTGCGAGGTATGAACGGGTCGATTCCAGGTATGATGGGTGTGCATTCTGCTAGGGAGACCTCGCGGGCCAATCGGCAGACTCCATGTTCCAAACCTTCCAGGGAGTCAAACACCTGGGAGGTCTCAGAACTTGTGGCTCAAATCTGAAGGACTCGTCTAGACTGGCCATTCGCTGGTTTTTGATGCATCCACCACTCGGTCTTCGGCCTGATTCAGATGCAGGCACGCATGCACGACCGTCTAGCATTTCTGGAGGGAACTCCGGCGTTTCCAGACTGAAACATACTCTCAAAACCTCCCATGACGAACATGGAAAAGAAAAACAATATAAACATGCCAATCCATGCCCCCAAAATAGGTCAAATGTGATGCGCCCACGCCCACGCCCACCATTGTCAGAACATGTCAGTGTCCCTGGCACCATGTCTTCATCTCCTCCTGAACCTCCAAAACAAACGCCTGCGAACGGCAAGGGTGGAGAACCAACACCCAAAAACACCATGGTACCGTCTGAACCGCGGATTTCGCCGTCCACCCTGTCACCAGACGACCTCACGCCTACATCACTCCTCCCATCTTCCACGCTGCCTTGGTCATCTTGTCGATGCTCTTCTTGTGGCGCGGTCGCTCGGAGGCTCCGCCCGCGGCGTTCCCGGCGCCGTTCGCGGCAGCGTTGCCGGTGCTCTCGGAAGCGCCGTTCGCGCCGCCGCTCTCGGTGTCGGAGGCATCGTCCAAGCGCCAGCCCCCTCGGGGTCGTGGGGAGGTTGGGAGGAATCAGCGTAGTTTGAGGCGATGGGTTACGTCGAACACCCCCATATAGCTGGTCACTCAGTAGTCCGGACATAGCTTTCATAGCTTTCAATGCACTTCGATCACACTGAAATGGGAGCAACCTAGAAGCACCTGGGGCAGAAATTTCTGCCTCAGTCCGACTTGCCCGGGAGGATTCGCGGATTTAGGGGAAATCCGCGCCAGGTAGGAATTTCCGCGGGCAGCAGGGAATTTTGCCTCAAGCAAAATCCAACATAGCAACTCAAAAACCATTACAACCTACCAGGTTGTCTCTTCCATGATTGCAGACCACATATCGTTCTGCATCGCTTCACATCTGAAGATCTGACACCCTACGATTTTGACACTTCTAAATTCACGACATTCACAAAGAGGCTGCGACATATGTTCAAGCCCTTCAAAGGCATCAAAGGCACTGTTCTTGAATCCCGCCTTCTACCAGGAAATTTCCGCCGGTTTCCCGGGTATTTCCGCCGTTTTCCCGGGTATTTCCGCCTCTTTCCCAGGTATTTCTGCCTTTTTCCCAGGCATTTTCGCGCCAGGTGTTTTCAACTTTGGACTGATTTTAGTCCTTTTGTGATCATTCCGCACAAGAAACCTTCAAAAGCAAAGACACATATATGATATGATGGTAGCCAGATTTGCAGGTGGAGGTGGAAACTTAAGCGCTGCAAATTGCTTTTTCTCATTGCGGTCACCGTTCCAGGCAGAAATGCCCAATGTAAACTACAAAAATATTCAACTCCTCTAGAATATGTAGTCTTTGTCTCACTGGATTCCTGAAAGGGAATATTCGCGGCAACAAAAACATTTCTGCGGCAAACAGCTGATTTCCGCCCCAGGACGGGAAGAGCCGCTCTTCCCGAAAAAGGCAAGAATTTCTGCCCAAAGGATCTTCTAGGAATAAATGGCTGAAATCAGACGCAGGCATGAGTCTAACACCGACCCGTCGTCGTACCGAACCTGGCACCGTTTCGACCCGTGGCGCCGGACCCGCCGCTCCGCCCCAGCAACCCATGGGCTTTGCGGATTCGAAGCGTGAAACAAACATAGAACGCTATAGGGCCCGGAATCGAACATGGAGAAGCACATGGGATCTTCAATGGATCTCCTGTGCATTTTGGACTCGGAAAAAACCAACCAACCCAGTGGAGCGCGGGGCCGCAGGGCCCAGGAGAGTCAGGCTCTCAATCCCCACGAGTTCATGGGCAAGCATCGGATTTCAATAAGATTACCTCATAGAGTTCACTAGCAAGGTGTATAGAATCCTCCATGTGCACCCAAAAAGAATTGGATGAGCTAGCCGCTTATCTGAACTGTCTGGAAAATCGTGCTGAACATCTGCCCCGATTCCTCTGGGATGGGAGCATCCCTGTCGTATGTGGACCTCAATAAACGATCGTCACACAGAACAAATAAAGCACTCAAGATCCAACGGCCACCGCAAGCGCATGCAAGTCGAATGTACCCTTTATATCAAACCTTTCCCTAGGGATCCAAGTGCCTTCTCAGAAGGTGGGACTGGGGTGGGTGCCAGGAGGGTGGAGGGTCCAGGTGCCTTCTGAGGTTGTACGACTGGACCCAACCAATTGGCACCTATACAAAGGGTCCAACACATCACCGTACCGAAAAGAGGGTGGCAATGAATCCAGAAGCTTTCTGATGGCCAAAGGCGAGGCGAAAGGAATTGGGTACTCTATAGCTTATATATATAGCTATAAATGATCTGAAATAATCCAAGAACTGTCAACTCTAAAGAGTTGTCTTTTCAAAACCCTGTCTCCACTCTCGCTCCCCTCTCTTAACCAGCCCAAGTCGCGATATTGATAGCCCCAGCAAAGGATCAAGAAGAACGTGGGGGGCGTCAGCAAGAAGAGCATCATCACCACCAATGCCGCTGTATCCATGGCTCTGGCACCACCTGAACCCACCACGGGTTGGCCCTGGCAGGATGGTGGTCAGAACGACGCACAGCACGGCTCCGGCTGCTGGCGGAGGGCGCCCGGCTGAGTTCGGAGGGCGCCCGGCTAGTACTGAGTTTGGAGCTAAAACAAACACAGAGTGTCTCATCTTCTTCGGGTTCAATGAGATCCGAATCTGAATCTGTAACAGTTGCAGACTTCCCATTCAAGATTTGGTTGCGTGGCCGGGGGCGGTGTCGGATGGTTTCGGCTCTGCTTGGGGACCATCGACCTGTGTCGCGTGTCGCGAGAGCGCGACCTCGTCGCTTACATCATGGAGCCGTAACGGCTCACAGATGGACCGGTTCTGCGTCCGACCACGGGTCCGACCACCGGGCCCCCGATGGGTCAGGGCAGCCAGGTCCAAACAGGGTCCTGAAAACCTCAAGTACCAGCACCCTCCAAGAGCTGGCCCGGCTGTGAACGTTGAGGGTTGGACCCTGTCTCAGGTCGAACCATTGGTGACCTGTCGGAGTCGGGTCCTAATATATATAGAGTGTTTTGGTATGACCCACCTCCAATACAAGAGGTCTGGGACCAGTTCGAATGGTACTTTTACCGATCCGAAAACGAGACGTGCCACCAGCGTCCACCCGGTCCGGTCAGGTACGGAGCCCCCAAACTGAGTAATTGTGGCCCGGAGCGGCTGAAGCTTAGGGAGGGATGTGACCAAGTCATCCACAAACAAAAGTTTGTTCCCTTCAAAAAGATCTCAAAAGGTATGATCCTAGACCCTAGCCTTCAGTTCGACCGTTAACATCATTGTTGACCTGGTGATGTAGTGTAAAGTGCCTCGGTAACACAATGGTTCTTTGGGATTCAGACCATTAAAGCCATGGTTGTCCGAATCCAAAAAAGAGTAGATGGGAGGAAGTGTCGTTTTCACCATAATCCATAAATAAAAGAAAACGATCAACACCTGGATCTTCCCAGTGACCTAACTTGATCCCCTGGTTGGTTCGGTCACGAGTTCAGGCTTGTAAGACTCCCAAGTTCGGTCACTGGGAAGGTCCAAAGGTTCACCATGGCCACATCTATGATGATCTATGGGCATCCTGGTAAAGAATCCACGGTGTAAACAAAGGAAGGCTTCCACATATATACCTATATAGAACCTGAATGACCTCTATTTGGGACCACCAATCACCCAAAATGCTTCGTTTTTCGCATATATGGTCTCGGGCTCCCGGGCTGCGGCAAAGGTCTCGTAAGTGCCAGGAGTTTAAGACGCCAAAGGGTTGTTGTACCTATATCCGATGACAGGAAGCTCAGCTGGAAGCAATTTTTGTGCGTTTCAACGATTTTTATTGTAGGTCATAGGTCGTTCTCTACGTTTGAGAGCTTGAGAGCTTGAAGATTGAATTGTGTTTTGGTCCGATAGGGTCCAGGTACCTCCTTTTCGGATTGTCTTGAAGGTGAAAGTACTGTACTTCCAGAGAATGGTCGAACGGGGGCTCAAAGGACATCCACGCAACGGATGGTCCTGGACCGTCTTAAAGTTGGACCTTGGCTCTTATGATGTGACAATCACATATCATGGCAGTAGCATGTATATGTTGCGTGGAGTTTCTTCCGGTGGCGCCCCAATGTACGTAAGCTTTCACCCTTCGGATCTTCCGCCGACATGACCATACTGTGACCATGCCAACATATTAAGGGAACCAAAAACCCAAAGCCTTACATGAATAATACCTGGACCCTCCTGTCGGGGTGTCCTGGCTGAACTACCCCACACTTCCTATAGGCTTCCAAACAGGGCACCCCAGCAGGAGGGTACCTGGACCCTCAGAATGCTACCTGCTCGGATTCGCTTCTTGGGGCCCTGTCTCGCCGTTTCTCGGTGTCTCGTCCAGAACGTCGCCCGCGAGGAGACCACGACGCTCCCGGGTCGCACGGAGATGTCGACCTCAAGGTCCTTCCGCAAGGGCTCGGTGCGAGCGGAGCGAGCGGAGCGAGCGAGCTCGGGTCTCTTGGATGAATCGAGCCATGCGGTGGCGGCAGATCCCAGATTCGAGTCTTCGAGACGATTGGATAAACCTTAGTTAGTCCATTTTCCGCCTGACCAGGTTGCAATGTGCTTGGTCAAACGCACAACTGTCTGATTTTTTTACATCATGCCGGTCCTCCGTTTCAAACATCACGATGGGCACACGCGCGTGGCGGATGATGTTCTGCCAGGTGGGCTTGCGGGTCGAAGGATTGGATTTTGTGCATGGAATCGTATCCCGAGGGAACGATTTACGAGTACCTTCTCAGAAAGTACTTGGACCCTCCTGGCACCGTCTCATGTGGAAGAAACGCATCATCTTCTCAAAGGGTATGTGGCATCCCTAAGGTATGGCAGACGTTGCTCAATTAGAATCAGTACAAGTGCAAAGGCCCTTGAACTTGGTATTTTAACTCCTTGAGTTGTGTTTCTGTACAACCAACTCGAGTGAGGTCGACCTGCAGGCCAATCGTCTTTGAGCTGCATCCTCCATTCACTAATTGATTAGGTGTATGTAGGCTGCTGGCTAGACCTCAAAATACCTATGCGAAGCATAAAACGTATCAGTATCCTGAATCTATATATATATACAATGAAGAGGGTGAGCCCGGCTTTTTCACATCATCGAAACGTATGGAGAAGAATGAGGCCCTGAGGCCACCTGAGAGTGGCAAAGTCTGACTATTGAACAAAGAGGCTAGACTTTTAGTGAGGTTTAACTAGAACGCACAAAATGGACAAAAACAAACACAGTACATGTTCCTGGTTCTTCCGTTCACGCCTGCAAAGGGTCACTTAGACGCTCCAAAACATATATATTTCAAGAAGCTGGTTGGAGCTGTGGAGTGATTGGCATTCTGTCAAGGAGTTGCTGGAAGTGGCTGGTGTTTACATTATACCGAAGATCCTAAGCTACAAGTATGTTAGAGTTGTGTCAGAGTCCTGAAAGGCTCGTCACGGTTATCTCATCTGAGCTGCACGTATCTGCACGCTTCCCCAACGCCGCCACTCCGGTCGCACCTTGACATGGACGCCAGCTTGGGCTTGCAACCATCTTGGCAGGACGGGGGTCGATTTTACTCCGAACTTGGGATTCGCACCTGGACCATCCTGTCTGGGTGTCCTGGAGATCTCTAGGTAGTGGAACTGGTCGGGTCTAGGGTAGTCCAGCTAGGTCACTCAGACCTATCTGCCATGGCTCTCGATCATGCAAAGCGGCTCCGGGGGGTCCTGAGGTGAGGCGACCGACATATCGGGGTCTACCGGGTACCGGCCACCGGTTCGTGGAAAAAGCATGTATTGTTTTTGGTGTAGTTCTGCAGTGTATTTCTTGTAGTTTCTTGTGCCGTTTCAAGAACAAGCGTCGGTTCAAACCTTCGTGGTCTTCAACACAAGCACTCAAAACGGTGGCTAACATGTTCTGCCGTTTCGCGCGGGTCATATGCCACTTGAACATTTGTTCTGTCACCATTTTAGGAACAACTCTCAGAAACTATATACCCATTCCAATACCTCCTCAGAAGGTATTTGGACCCTCCAAACCCGCCCCAAACGCCTTCTCAGAAGCTACTTGGAGGCCTAGGGATACTGATAGATCATTATATACAGAAGGGCACTAAAAAGTGCCGTTTCGTTAAAAGGAACAAACATGTCTATGTTTTTTGTTTTTTGAATGGAAACAGCAGTAATCCTGCATACGACTTAGGAAGATTACGGTATAACCCTAAACCTTATATATAAACCCAAATCTTTGTACTCTCCCTAGCACTGCGGACCCTCAAAAACCCATTGAGTGGGAGTTCTTTCCACCATATACCCTAGGGATCCAAGTACCTTCTCAGAAGGTGATTGGAAGTACCTGCTGAGGAGGTATGACTGGATCCCTAGGGATATTTTTTGGAGCAAACCTTTCGACCATGTCCCGCTCTGCCTCCTCGGATTCAACATTGGCTCGCCTCCCGAGCCGGTCGATGGTAGGAAGCACCAAAGCATTGCGCACGTCCTTCGCCTACCCCCCGAGCTGGTCGAAAAAACATCGAGGGTGGCTCAGCTGCTGAACTCGAATGTAGCTTCTATAAAGGGATAGCGGATAGCAGTCGGAGCGGTCTTATTTAATTATGAATCATTTTGGAATCACCTCAATGAAGGGCAAGGAAAGACCATTCTATAGCCTCGAACTTACTCACCTCCGTTCGACCATCCGAACATACCTGGACCCGGGACTTTTTCAAGGGCTTTGACCAAACAACCTTTGTTTGACTAAGGATTTTAGATTACCAAACAAGGTCAACCGAGATCTTGTAATGTTCAAACAGAAGCGTATATACCTGGAGATACCTGGAGGTTTTGGGTTGTCTTGGTACCAAACCAGGTCAACCGAACTCTTAAATCCTCTAACCAATGGTCGATCCAGCTTCGTTCTTGCAAAGGCAAATGGCGAGGCTCGTCGAGCGAAGGCCTTTGTGGGTGGGTGAATGGCACTTCGGTGCGGTTTGAAGGGGATGCAGTAGTGCTTGACTGGTGAAGAATGCATGAACATACACCTACCAACACCACCCGTGACCGTGACCAAAGGTCTCCTTCCGTGACCTCTTCCTGGACGATTCGTGACCGCATCTGCATGCATCCTCGAACGATGCCAAATTGGTGTTTTGTTCTTCTATCCAAGTACCAGTGGCCCTCAAAGCCGTGAAATGGAACTTTTGAGTCCCATGCGTGTGACGGCAGAAACTTCTTCGCGCGCAGGGTGACAGACTGGAACTCTGCACAAAGTCCTCGATCAGAGTCGATCAATCATGCGAGCCCCCTTAAATGATCCCAGGGCCTGTCATATATACCTGGAGTCTCCAAAGTACCTTGGAAAATGGGACATGACCCCACAAAAACAGGTACGACTGGGGCCCGATTTTCCGAGGTACTTTCACGGGTCGACTCCAGGTAGATCCCAATGGCCTGTCATGTAGTGCCAAGGATGGATGAGAAATGGGGCAACTCTTCACCTGATTCACGATGCTGACACGTGTAATTGGACCGTATTAGCTGCTATAGGCTCTGAACCATCCTGAACCCCGGCCTCAGCCACCCGGTGTTGGCACAGCCCACCTTCCGAGCCACGTGGTCAGCCTCTTTTCCCCCGCCAAAAAACAGATGGACTGGCAAAGGCTCGGAGCTTTGCCGCGAATTTCTGAGATCCTCCCGACCGAGCAGAAAGCTCATCACGGTCTCATCATCATGGGTCGGGTCAGCTGCACTTAGTCAAAAGGTGATATCTATGTTGAGGCTCACTCATGTAACCAGTTGTTCCATGTTTCATCATGTTTCCTACGTTCCCCCTTTTTTTCAGAATGACGTTCATGAGAAGCCAAACCACAAAGTGATCTCCTTTAGATTTCAATACTCAACGACTGTCAGTCCAAAAGCACCACGCTGGTGGCTTTCAATTGAAACCTGAACAATTCTAGGACCTCGGGAGAGTTGCGTTCCACATGCTTTTCCTGTTCCTTTTTGATCCAAACACTCTGGGCCACAATGGAAAAGGCTGTATATATGTCTTTTCGAGGCCGTTTTACCCCTGTGTTTCGGTGGTCTGACCCCTGCAAAAAGGTCGGGTGCCAGGATTCTTCAAGTATTTGTACCCTAAATCCTAAACCCCCCGTGGCCTTGTGCGAGCGCGACCACCTGACCAACTGCGCGAAGACACAAGGCCACGGGGGTTCATTCGATTGAATCACACGGGGGTTCGTATCATCCGATCTGCTGTTGTGTTACAGTACCAGAATGTCCGTATACATGTCCTCACTTATGGAACTCAGAAACAAAAAGAACCAACAAAACAAACTGACAACATCTTATATAACTTATTAACCATTATGGATCAACTATAGATTGCACAATTGTTTCCACAAACAACACGGAAACAAACGAGAACATGGTGTCCCGATGTTGTTATTGGGGGCTACAGGAGCCGTAGTCACCTGGAAAACTTGAAAACATCACCATCCCTAGGGCTCCAAGTACCGTCGTTTCGAAGTGGGACTGGGGTGGGTGCCAGGAGGGTCCAGTCATACCTTCTGAGGAGGTACGACAGGAGCGCTAGGGCATGATGGCCATCAAATCAAAACGTGGATCCCAAGTACTGGTAGGTTGACCATGTACAGTCCCTAGGCCTCGTTTCGTCGTACCCCCCTAAGGGTCCAGGACCATCCTGAGGATGTCCTTTGACCCCCCGTTCGACCATTCTCTGGAAGTACGTACTCACCTTCAAGACCATCCGAAGTACGGAGGTCCCTGGACCCGAACTGGGACCTTCTGAGGTTCGGTGGGACGAGTCCTGGGGACTGCGGGTGCCAGGGAGGTACGTCCAGTCAGACCGAACCTTCGGAGGCTTGGAGGTGTAGGGACTAGTCCTGTTGTTCTTAGTCCTTCGCATCGAACGTGTCGCTCCCCCGGTGTGCCGGTCCGACCCCCACCATGGATCGAATTCGTGCATGGGCAGTGTTGCGATGTCGCACAGGGCCATCGAAGTTTGCATCGTTTTGTTTGGAACAGTGGTGTCAGATGATGTCAGGCAACAGATTACAACCTCGTCGGCCCAAAAATAGCTACTATGATGAGAAAGTTGTAGATTGGTGCCTTTGGGTTCATTATATACTTGTTCATTGAACACAAAAACCCGCCGGTCCGGCGGTGACGAGGGCGAGATCGACAAGACCAGGACGGTCCAGGGGCATAGGTTGCGGAGCCCAAGAATCAATTCCATGTCCCTACTGCAGGCCGCCCATCCGAAACTCGGTTCCATGGTGATGGTGGGTGCTAGAGTTGGGGGGTCCTCAATGACCCTGCCTCCCCCAGGGCATCCAGTTACCACTATAGCTGGTAACCAGTGGTTCCAAAGACTAAAACCATAGACCTAGAATCCCTGGTTCCTTATATATAGTTTGCCTGGGATGCACTGGGTCCAACACAGACGTGGAATTCCGGAAGTCACTCGAAGCAGAGCGAAGACGTTTCGCAGGGAGAGGCCGGAGGGAGAGGCCTATGGATCCACGTACCTTCTCAGGTCATTGGAAACTATTTATGCAGGCGCCAGGAGGGTCCAATTGCCTTCTGAGGTACGGTGCCAGTGGATCCATAGGGGGTATCGAAATAATACATTGGGGTATGATGGTCTCCTCGCCGACCAGTTTGTGTGACAGTCGCTGCGACGAGCGTCGAGGGCCATGTGCGGAGAGTTGCAACACCGGACTTTACCGAAATGGCATGGCTAAGTCATTTACAACCCAGCGAATTCTGGCAGATGCTCCAAGATGCTCAGCACACACAGCAAAGCAGTGTCACTCGATTCAGATGGCTGGGGGATAGGTTTCGGATGGCTGCAGCAAGAAACACCACGGTTCCCACAGCATGTGGATGAGAGCTGTTCCCATCTTGCCAGGCCTTGCCGACCTTGTTCTCTGTTGGTTCAAAGCTGAGACATTCAACTCGACACATTCAGCTCAGCTCGGATTCCTCTCGATCTACGAAATGCCATGGCGGACATTGTGCTCATCCCTCCATCCAAGATCAATGGCAAGGGTTAGGAGGGGTTAGGGCAGGCTGCTGGTGATATATAACCATGTCAAACATGTCTCGGCCTGAGAATTTCTGCGAACCGAGCGCCAAATCGAGCAACTGGCCAGTCTTTTGCATCACTCCGCAGCAGATCGGCGAGCTAGCACGCCTGCCTGTGACTGAGAGAGCCTGCCTGTGCACACATCCGCTTAAGCGATGGACACTTGTCAAGTGGAAATGATTAGCTGGGGATCCACTGCCACCCTCTGAGAGGTACGGTGATGTGTTTCTTCCACTGAGAGACCACGACGATTGGGGAAGCCAGCGCTGAGAGACCTCAACCCACACCAAGAGCTTCATCCTGTCAAAAATGGCTAAACCATGCTATAAACCTATAGTCACCTAGTCTGGAGCTAATCCCACAAACTTAGTAACTTAGTTGGGTGTTCAAATTCTACACGATTGGAGACTCGATCAAAGTACTTGCCCCTATCATGGTAAAATGACTCACATAGCCGATAGTACGCAACAACTGAAAGAAACAAAACGACTTCGATGCATCAAAGGGAGGGTCGAACGTAGAACACGACTTCGGTCGCTCCATCTGCGGAAGTCCATCTCTCGCCACATCTGCCGCTCTGCCGCTCGAACCCTTGGTCTCAGTCTAGGACCTGCTGATTTGGATGTCATGCGGGGTCCAAGTTCAAGCGTTTCCTATACCAGCCTTAAACCCTACAAACATGCGGCATAACGTGGACCATGGCCCTACCCAGAAGACCGTGAACTCCTCTACGAACAGGCCGTGAATCTCCACGTTTCAGTGAATGGTTTCAGGGAGGGTTGAAGCACACCCCACCCGAGGGTCAGCGTGGGACATGGTATACTCTTCGATCATCGATGACTGTTGAGTCACAAAATCTACTCCGTCCCACATCCGAAGCTATACACTACACCTCCAGTCGTACCTCCTCAGAAGGTATTTGGAGCCTCCCAACCCACCCCAAACACCTTCTCAGAAGGTACGACTGGAGGCCTAGGGATAGGGACAAACACCCCGGATGACCCCCCGACCCACCCGAAACGAAACGAAAGGAAACGACTGGGTTCGAAACGATGGTTTCAACATGAACCGTTTGCGAAGAAGCAATCACAACCTGCCCTGCCATCTCATAACATGGAATATGATGCCCTTCAGATCATGTTAGTGGAAATCAAGTTCGTCAGCATGCGGATGGTCATATCTGATGTTCAATCCACTTGTCTTCCACAGACCTGGACTTAGATCTTGGAAGAACTATGACATGGTGTGTGGGTGAAGTTATGATCAGAGCTGCAAAGTCCTTAGGGACATGTTTTAGCAGGCTACTGGGCAGTGAATCTTCTACGATGCGGGTGAGGAGGCGTGTCAAACTCCATCTCCCATCGGCCTAGGACGACACTGACATAAGCAACATGTACCTTCCAGGAGTTTCAAAGGGGTGCGATCCATGGAGGTAGTCGGGGTGCCCTGGTCACATCCACTCACTGGATGGGACGTTTCACACCACCCCGAGCTCTGTGACCCCTAATTGGTTCTTGTTGCAAGTAACAGTGGATGTTGCAGGCCGACATCTGTAAACTAGCGATGTTCATGTTTACATCCTGTTACAAATAATGGGACGGACCCAACATCTACCATAACCACCTCCTCAGATGTCCAACGGAGATGACTTATCCCAATGGTCAAACAGTGTTATTTGGGTTTTAAGGCCGGTGGCACCATGTTTTCATGTTCCACCTCTCTCTTGAGCTCTTTAGTGACATCCCCAAAACCAAACACAACACACCCCTCAAACAAGAATACAGCTCCAACTCGCTCACAGGATGTCCGCGCCGACGGTTTTGACCAACAAAAAACAATCCAAACAAACGCATCCCATGTCCTACCCCAGGCTCGTTCAGCAGCACTTCTTTCAGCAACGTCTCCGTGGACCTGGCGTGGGCGCTGAACGCGTGGCGTTCAGCGTGGCTGGGAGAGAGAGAGACCGCTCCGGTCCCAACGATCGGGGATGTAGAGGAAAGGAGTCTTCCAAGAGGCCACGCCACTCCACTTCCATGTGAGTCAGAGTGTAGCACTGTTATTGAAAGTCCGATGCAATTAGAGGGTTGCAGGTACCTGCGTTGTGGGTGCAGGTGGTTGGATGTGGTTGGGTTTGGTATGCTAGTTGAGAGGTCTGTCCCCTTCGAAGATGGGACCGGAGCCCCAAGGATGCTGATTCTGGCCGACTGGCCTTGGCCTTGGCCCAGGGTTCCTGACCCACATCCTCAGTACCTGAGTGACCCCCCCGCCAACACCCACACCAACCACCTTCACCTTCACCAAAAGGTATTTGGAACCCTAAGAATTTTCATCCATAGGTACTAGACCACTTACTAGACCATACGACCTGTATGGGAAGGTATACCTTCTGAGAAGGTTTTAGATTCCATCAGATGACCAGGACTTTTGGGGACTGGAATCATTCCATCCAAATGACCTGCATGTTGGGCATGATCCAGTCCCCAACCATCCATGAGACTGGCCTATTTAGGGATCATTTGGGTGGTTGGAAAGGTCAATGTAGTTATACTCCCCTGCAGATTAACATGGAACCCCAACACCACTGGGTTGGTATTCGGAAACGAGTCTTGCAAAAGGTCCCTTTGGAGGTTCCATGTGAATCCTTCCCAGCTGTATTACTCCAGTCCCATGGATGGTCTGGGAGTCTGACTCGTTCAGATTGCCACCTTCCGACCAGATCTGCCGCCCAGTCACGGTTGGATCTCCAGCGTCGGCAAATCCTCCTGCGCTGCTCGCGATCGTGGATGGAATCAAGAAATACACTTAGGATTGGATGGTTTCTGTGGATCCAAACTGTCATCTATGGGAAAGCATCCGTGACTCATTGTACATGTCCAAGCCATCCATTCCATGGATTCATACCTTTCCATGTCTACCGTCTACCTGGAATGTCTATAAATATGCTTCTAAAATTGTACCAGAACTGCTGTTTTTAAGGGTCGGACCGTCCCATTTTCTAGGGCACTCTGGAAGGTCCAGTTTTATGGCGATGGATGATAAAATGTTCCATGGAAGTTGAACGCCTCAAACTCTTGACTCCAGGAAAAAAATACAGTGGTTTCAGAATAGATGGCACAAACCCAAAGATGTCTTTTATATGGGTCTCCACATCAACCACCGACCTTGGGGATTGTGCCATCGAGCCTCTGATGGCAAGCAGACTCCACCTGCTCTTCTCCCCAAGGTACAAACGGTACAAATATGGATCGCCTGGCCGGATGAAGGTAATCCTCCTAAACTGAAACCCCAAAAAAAAGCCAATCAACCCCTCGCAGGATTCACAAATGTTTCATCTCGTGAAACAAAGGTGGCAAGTTCCAAACCCACTGAAACCAATTTTAATGGACATTCCATCTAACATATAGTATTGTAGACCCAAGTTCCCCGTTCGATTCCATCTGACAATCCGTCCACATGCGGAAACCACGTCCTCCACTTCTTCCTGGCCAAAGAAAAGAGTCTCACAAAGAATCGACCCGCCCACCAACAATGGAGGTCCAGCTAACCAAATCCAAACCCAGGTCCAATATAGTACCCCTTCGAAGATCGATGCCACTCAGCCTGACTCCAGGAACACCCGCTTTGCACTCCGCGCTTGTGGCAAGTGGGATGGATACAAGTTCGGTCTGTGTCCAAACCCATGCAGCTTCCGGCCAACCCAGAGACCTCCAGGGACTCCGACTCGGTGACTCGTGGGCTTCGACTCGGTGGGGTCATGCAAAGCCGGATCGGTCCCCTTCTGAGGTGGGAGATCTACCCGGCCTCCAGTCGTACCGAACCGCTCTGAGAAGGTGGGACGACCGGGGTGGGTGCCAGGGAGGTACGTCCAGTCATACCGAACCTGAACGACTGGAGGTGTAGGGAAAGCTTGCAAGAACGAGATTGAATAATATGTGATTCCCAACACACACTACCTGCGTGTGTTTTCACATGTACATCTGGTCGGTGGTTTCGACTCACTTGAAAAAACAGCACGGCAGTAGGCTCAATCATCCCAAGTAAAGGTTGAACATAAACAAGATCTGAAAACACCACCAAGTACATGAACATCACTGCCTCGATCAAAAGGTAGGTCCCACAGGCCTACCCAGCGGTTTGTCATACATCGCCTGATCTAAGGATTCAAAGCTCAGGGCATGTCCAGAACTTGCCAAATGCTTTCATCACCTGCACCCTGCCAAACAGGTCATTACTATTACTGAAATGGACAGGGGCCGGGGGTCCCTGTCCAAGCATTTCAGCCCCCAGCCGAGAAAGGTCCTTTCTTTCCCTAAGGGTCCAGGACCATCCGTTGCTCGGATGTCCTGAATGACCCCCCGGCAACGACCATTCTCTGTTTTCGTACGTACTCACCTCCGTTCGACCATCCGAAGTACGGGTCGGTACCTGGACCCTATGGGTTTGGTCTCCGGATCTCCCGAGGAACTTCGATCATCCCGAGGTTCCCAAGGTCGCGCCGTGAAACGGCGGGCGTCCCAACTGGGAGCGACCGTGGACCACCATGCGTTCGGGCTCCCATTTCCCAGCAAGCACCGTGGTATGAGCTGCGTGGGATGGCGGAGCACCTTTTGTCCTTTTTTTTGCGGCGACAATGAAGAAGGCAAAGCTGGGCGGTCTGTTCAACAGGCGTTTTGGTTGGCATGTTTGTATTGAGATGTATTGAGACTCAAGACAGGCCTTCCCTAATTCGCAGTCACGAGATGGGATGGACCCTTCAGCCATTTCCCGAAGGATTTTGCGTCGAAGAGCCGCCCAAGAGGAGCCCAGTGAGCACATTAGCCCATGGTCTCACTGTCATCCACTTAGGCACCAAGTGGGTTGGCCTCAAACGCCTCGACATTCTTGGCCCTTTTGTCACAGGAATGTCCTCGTGGTGCAGCCCCACACCCGGCCAGCGGTGTGACAAGAGCTCATGAGATCAGTTGAACATAACATCGATCATCTGATCTCGTGCCAGAGCTCTTGTTGGGTAGGGCGATTGACTGCCAAACAAAAAACATACAAAAACTCTCTGGCCGCCATGCGCCGAGACCAAAACGCCGAGACAAGCAAGACGCCAAGCCGTGAAAGTTAAGTCAACAGGCTAACAGCATGTTGGAAACGCACTGCTCAGCTCTGCAAACAACAAGGCAAAGCGACGAAAGAAATAAGAAACCACCAGCAGCACTCTGTTGCGGATGTTTCTTGGATATCTTTGGATGGTAGGACGCTGGTAGGGCGGGTGCAAAAAAATGAACTACGTTGATCGGTGCGTGACGGAATTGATCGCTTCAGACCTCTTCAGACCGCTTCCTCCGTCTGCTCGGCGACGTCAAACGAAACAAGGATCGTGGTGAAACAGGATCTGACACACATCCGAAGTGGGAATAGGGAAACGTCCATCTGGCAGAACATGCTACAGGCATATAAGTCCAGGACCGGACCCTGGTCCAAACCTGGGTGTTTGATGGTGTTTACGTACGCCCAGTCATAATGAGGTCATTGGTGGAAGATCTAAGATCACCGAGAACAGTCGTGCTGTTTAGGATTTCATGGTCTTCACATGGTCTTCCTAAGGCATCATGATTCAGGAGGTCTTTATTGAGAGGGGAGCGCCGCCAATTCAGGAGGTCTTTCCACTTCCAAGAGCTCCACTCGCCTGCGATCGGTGCCACCCACTTGCGATCGGTGCCACCCACTTCTGCGTCGCTTCGATCGCCACTTTTCCGCCCGTCTGCGAAGCATCGGTTCCGTCGGCACACCGACGAAGTACTCGACTGGACCTCCGCTTCCGGACCCGTCGCGTGGGCTTCCGGACCAGGACCCATGTCATCCGAACAGAAGCACATGATGTGCTTGGTCACCGGGTCCCATACGGAGGTCCCAACCAGCGGCTTCAGTGCCGCCGCTTCGAACATCCCTTCGACTTGAGTGGCTTCGTCTTGGATCATTGGAACTGCTCACTCCGAGCTTATCGCTTAGCCTGCAATGGCCATCCACGATGTTCAGCTTTCATCACCAAGCGTGCTTCTCCACGTACATCGCCGGTCGTCCGCATAGGCTGCCATAGGCAGGGTCACTCTCAATGGCAAAGAGCTGCTACGTATGCTTCGATCTCTTCCTCAACAGACCCGGCCCCACGGGCGCCGTCATGCCGCGGGTGCGAGTGTCTTGGGGGCCGCGGCGAGTGTCGACGTCTTATATATTGGGGGTTGGGGCAAAGCAAAGGAGGCACGAAGCGTGGATCACTGAGATGTGATCGAACACTGGGACATGTCACATGAAGCACTGAGAATTAGTGGGATTCTTCACTGGAAAAGTCCATGTATAGTAGTAGTCGACTATAGACGCTGCACACCGGAAATCTGTACGTTAAAATCCCATCTGTCGACTCGGTTCTCCACCGATCCCACTTGGTTCGAAAACGCTCTTGGCGAAACTCGCGAGTTTCCTCGCATCGGCGAGGTTGATTGGCGGGTTCACTGCATCGGATGATGGATTCCCGACGGGTCAGCCCATCAAACCATCTATCCCCCGGGCGGCAACGATGGAGGGGTCCCTTGAATGGTTAGGGTCAGATGGCATGGTGGATGGATGCATTACCAATGGCACGTCTGGGCCCCCAAGTTGGGTTTATTCATGGACCTCGGACCAATTGAGACCTGATACAGGGTCCAACAACCCTCAACTAACAGCCTGGCCAGGAGGGTGCTGGTATACAAAAGACATCTTAAGGTGTGCCCAAAAGTAGCCATCGAACCCTCTGAAAGCACTGTAGCCCCAAAAAACGTGACCCAACACATCCCAAAGGTCTGCCTGCAGCCTCCAACAGGTCACGATCTTCTGTACTTCACCAGCTCCACTTTCTAAAGGATAATTTTTTTGGAAGGTCGGTTGCGTAAACCGGATGATCTTTAGATAACTGATCACTCTCAGTGAATCAGTCTCTTCAGAACCAAACACTCCACAAAACTCGATAGACAACTTCGGTGGTTGAAAAGGGATCAATGTTTCGTGACACATTAAATATAAGTCCCATATAGGTCGTGTTCGGGACTTTTTGTGGATCAGAGTTACCTCCTCCACTACCTCCTCCTTTTTGGCTTTCAATCACTCTGCCGAGCTTCTTTGATCTTCTGCCGCTCCACCAAGCCCGAAAGCCACTCCGCTGGAATACCCTTCATGCCATGCGCGGCGCCGGCCAGGGCTCCCAGCAGCGTGCCCCGGTGCACACACTCACCGCCCGCATTGGCTTGGGCGAGGAGGAGAGCTGGGAAGGAGTCGTGGTAGCGGAACCTGGGATGTCTTTGGGGATGATTTGGGGTCATCTTCTTCGGGCTCAGCTGAACAAAAAATGATCTTGGCAGATTCCAGAAGGTCAGCAGCTGTCAGCATGGGAAAACCTGGTTTTGGGGTCAGAATTTGGCGGTATAATTAATTTGTCCGTTCAACTGGAAGGAATTTTCTGCAGATGGTTCCCACAACTGGAGGATTGGCATGGGAAAGGGGACACTCCAAAGGAACACCATGGGAACGTTTGTGAACAACTTTCACCAAACCATCGGGATCAGTTGATGGATGAACGTGGTCAAATCGTCAACTCCCATAGGGTCCAGGTACCTCCTGAGGATGGTCTTGGAGGTGAAAGTACTTCCAGAGAATGGTCTTGGGGGGTCAAAGGACATCCGATTCGGATGGTCCTGGACCCTTAGGGCTATATACCCTCCAACAATCAATGGATGCCATGGCCCGTGGAAAGACCATTTTCCTCTACCAGAACCTTGCCGGTGACCTCTTCAGGATTGGTAGACGTGACCTGTTCAAGGCCGTTTCGCTACCTGTTCGCCACTGGGATCTCAAGTTCGGTCACTGGGAGAGGTCCTGGTACAGCAAAAATCTGTTGGAGGGACTAGTAGACCCTCGAAGTGATCCGATCGATTGCTTCTTGATCGACTGCGCGACTGCGTCATGTGGATCGATCAAGGCGCTGGTCCTATTCATTCGTGTTGGGTCAAGGAGAGACTTCCGTTTCCTTTCAGTGGGACGACCAGGGCCCGGGTGCCAGTCATGTCCAGTCGTAGCTTTGGAGCTACGACTGGAGGGGTCTGCATTTTGCACACCAGAATCCTGTTCAACAAAGTCAGGCCCAGGGTGAGTAGCACAAAAACCCGGTGTGTTGTAACCACTCGAGCTTGGGCGCCCCCAATCTCGATCGAACATATCACTGTTTTGACTCAGGCGCCACCCCATGGCCAGGCATGGCCAGACCACACCTCCGTCAAAAAAAACACATGTCCGAAGAAAAACCATCCCAAAAACCACGCTCCGATCGTGTGTCTTCGTCCGACTCCAGAAAATCACGCCCAGATGCATATAGTGCAAGATGCTGGGAAAACCTTCCTCCAAGCTCGTGGAGGTCATGGGATCTTTACCTTGCCCCAAATTCGGTCCGAATACACCGCCCGAAAGATGGCCCGAAGGATCGCGATCCTTCGGATCGAAAGAGGGGAGAAAGCGGCTGGCTGGTTGGCATCCGTGGGGTGGTTGATCATGCGTCTTGGAAGTCAAGATCTTGGAAGTCCCAGGGGAAACGGACACACACACACACACACACACGTCTGTACTTGTATAATCTCATATAACATGATGGGGTGTTCTTGGTCAAAAGGGTGTCTGATCTGATTTCCCAAACATGTCATTACAGGCATGCTACGAAAAATATCCTAGCAGCACCACCCAAAGAGTGGTTATTGGATGGAAAATACATCTTATAATGAACCATCTTTTGGGTGGTCCTGGCCAAACAAACCTGTGTGGAATTGTGGATGCTCCTTCGCTTGCTAAGAACTGATCGACGAAGCTTCCGATTCATTCCGATTTCCTCAGCGAGTCCGTCCATGGTCCTCTCCAACGACTCAGCACCAACTTGTGGGACCGAGCCTGGGTTCTGTCTTCTACCGGATCTTTAATTCCAGCTTCTGACAGTTCGTGACCGGTTCCTTGAAGGTTCCTATATGAAGTGACCCAAACAGGAGGCGAAGTAAAGTGACCGAACCAACCAGGTGATCAAGTACGGTCACGAACTGAGGAACCAGGTAGGTTTTTGATTGGCTTTGATGGTCGACGTGAAGACGTGAAGACGGTTTTTCATGTTGAGAACGATCAGGATGTGGGTCCCAGAACTGTTCTCCTGCGTCCGATCCACATTCTCTTGCCAGAACCACTGGTTGGCTTGGCTAGATAGCGCTAGATAGCGCTAGACATGATTGACCATTTCACATGATGTTGGTCGGATCAATGGTCCGGGGCCAAATCCTGACGAACCTCATCGAGTCGCATCAACTTCAGTCAGTTCGTGATCTGTAGTGCGAGGATGGAGACGAAAGGAACATTTGCAAGTCGGACATGTTTGTTTTTTTTCTATACCCTATAGGCTATAGGGCTCTAGAAACGAACAACCCTTGTTTTACTGGATTTTTACACTAGAAAACCTGGTCATTCCCATGCGTTCTTGTTATTACCATATGGTCGACTGGAAGGCAAGCGGGTGTATTCAGGTATTTTTGAGGATGCCCACATGTCACAAATCTCCAGGTTGGGACCAAGCCAGCCTGAACGGTCACCTACTCAGCGCACATGCAAGTGCGCAAACATCATGGAAGTGGAAGACCAAACAGGTGGTGAACTCCACTTCCATGATCTTCCAGGTAGGCAGCTAGGGACTGAAACCCGGCTTAATCTATGATGATTTCCTGGACCCTCCAACAGGTGCCTGGTGACAACACGTGTCCAAATTCCCCCTCTGAGTCGGGTCCAAACACCCACCTGTTGGAAGGTCCAGGTTCGGGGCACATCAACGACATCAACTCCGCAGTCATCAACTCCCCTGACTCAGTCACTTTGCCCGGAACAACAAGCTTCACCGAACTGAACCCGCCAGAACTCTTCTTGGTGTCTGCAGTGTCCCCCAATATCTCTAGCAATTCCGCCATTTCGGTGACCCCGCCGGTGATCCACGGTCTGAGGCCCAGCGACGACCCACCAGCAGCTCGGCCAAGCGTGTAGCACCGCCCCGCGCCCCGCGCAGTTCCACGTTGAGCCGTTCCGCCACGGCGTCCAGTCGTGGAGGCGGACGACCGTCTGTTCCGTCTGGTTGGAGGAGAAGACGAAAGGCCAGAGATAAAAGCTTCACATATTTCGCGATTTCAGGGGTATAGCTCCTGGCGAGCGATTCCGGGCCGGATTTTGTTTTTTTTTTAAATACGACCTATAAAGCCTGCTTTACCAAATGTTGTCTTTCTATATGTTGTGCGCCTTTGTCTTGAAATTCTGTTTGGTTATACTTCCACCAAACAAATCAGACATGGTACACTTAATCCTGTTGCTATCTCCGGCTAACGATACTTCTGCAACCTTATTCATGTCGCGTTTCTCCTTGGTCACCCTCTCCTGATGCACTGGATGCATTTGGCGACCTGGCAACATGTGGATTTCACAATGACAACCAAAATTACCAGTACAAGTGCAAATGTCACGTTGGAAACCAACCCAGGGCACATGTGATATTGCCATGGTAGATGTGTGAGGTACAGGGAGGGTCATTAACAAAACACATCGCACGCTAGTGGTCTCTCTGGGCCATGATACTATGACATACTATGACTATATTTGTGCATCCATGAAGCATAGCCAAAACATGTCAAAAACCAATGAAGACCTTCAAATCCCAAGCTCCCAGGCCCACTTCATCCGCTCCCAAGCCCACACCCCAAACCATACCAACAACAAAAACTTCTATATGGGCGCCCACTAGGTCCACCCCCCCCACGTCTCCACCATAATCATAACCTCCATCAGCTCCACCCTCCTCCCTCTTCACTTCCTTCTTCCCTCTTCACCCATTTCACTTCCTTCATTCTTCCCTGACCCGGTCCCCACCTGTTTCTCCGCCTCGGCCTCCTCCAGCTTCGTCGCCGCCAGCACCGCCGGCACGGCGCCGCTGAGCGCGTCCAGCGTCTCGGCCAGCTCCTTCGGGTCGCGGCTCTGTGCGCAGCGCGTGGGCGGCCAACCGTCGTCCAGGCGACGGAAGAAGAGCCGGTGGTAGAGACAGAGCCAGGGAGCACGGTGCTGAGGACCTGAGGTGAGGAGCCATAGTCAGGGTGATTTCTAGGATAGCGTGATAGCATAATATGGTACAAGTATATAGTGATGTATGAAAGAGAAAAACACAATAAGTTGGTGGTGGAAAAATTTGGAAAACCAACTGAAGATTGCAGTGCCATGTTTTGCAATATATTGATTGGCAGTTGGCAGTATGTGGGTTCGTGGAACAAACAAGTCCAACTATCTCTGACACCACCGGACACCGCTTGCTCCTATGATTTCCTATGTGCGTTTGGTAAAACATGTAGACAATATCGATCATGTGTTGCATGTTTAAGACCAAAATCGATGTACATCGAGGATCAGGAGGCCTGATCTTCAGGAGTGATACGGCTGCGAGATCCAAAGTGCTGAAGTGTTGATTCAGATTTGGGGGAAACTGAGCCAGTGGTGAACGGGATCTATGACCTCTCCATCAGTGGAATCTGCCAGGCACTGAAGTCTCTGAACGGGAACTCTTTGGGTCGCCGCAAACTCCCTGGTCGCCATCTCCGAACAGCTGGGTGATTGGGTCCCTGGTCCATCGATACCAGACACCCAAGCCGTCTTCTTCCGGCAACACCATAGCACCAGCGCACTCCCGTTCCAGCGCACTCCCGTCGTCTGTGTGTGTTTCAGAAGAGGCACCACGCGCTTCCATGAAAGCCATGTAGTCCTCCTGCAGCGTTCCGGCGGCCTCCTGAACCACTCCCTTGGCCCCAACGACGGCTGCCAGGTACAAGCGGAAGATGTAGCCCTCCAAAGTGTGCTCGCCCGCGTCCAAGCCGTAGTGGTAATGAAATCCTGAGGTTCACCCAAACCAACCATGTGGTCAAGTGTCGAAGATGAGGCAAAGCACCCAAGCGACACAAAAGATCCTCTTTTAACAACATAGTTTATATAATATGTGTGTGTGTGTGTGTTTAACTAATCAACGTGTCATCGGATAAAAGCCTCGGAGATCGTGTATTTCTGGTCAGACTATGACATCCTTGGTGCCAGTGCCATGGATTATCTACAAGCAGCTGCAGAAAGCAGCTCCTGCTTTCCGAGTTCCACGCCCTGTCACCCATAGATCGCCTCAAAGGACTGGCCCTTGTTAGAATTGAGTCCCATATGGGGCACTATAGTAGAACGCTCTCCAAGGATCTACAAACTAAAGTGAAAGGACATCACCCTTTTTGACCATGAGTCTTCCGAAGATTAAATAGGTGTTGCCAGTCACTTCGACTCCACAAAACCATGAATTCCACCGCTGAAATTCCCTCAACGGACCCTGAAGACCATTGGTGCAGCGACCGCTGCCAACAAAGGTTGAAGAACCCTATAGACCGATCCAAATCCCATAGGTACCGCAGGTGAGGGGTCCTTTTTCAGGTCACCTACAGTAACCTCTCTTGGTTCGAGGGTGCCATTTGACCCGTGTCCGTATTCATTTTCAGCTTACCCTAAGAATCCTTGACCTCTCCATGGCAGGGGTCGGACCCGACACCGAAACGCAGGGGTCCGGGCCCAAGTGAGAGCCAAAACCTTTTCTCATCCGGTCGGGATCCCAAAGCCCATGGTGAGGTGTCAGCCCTTCCCAAAAAAATTGTCAACCTGGCTGCATAGTCATTCCCAAAACAAACCCAAAAAAAAAGACGTTAAGAACGTCAAGCGCCAAGACGTATTTTCCAACGTGTGGGTGTGTGTGTCACCCCCTGTTCCTAAGGGTTCCGCTTTTCTTTTCCACCACAATTGCAGGGGGTCGCTGGGGATTCGTGCAGTCAGCGACCAACGAAGACGCTGCACGTTTCCCGTGATATGAGTCGAGGACGCTCGACTCACGTACCTGCGACAGTTTTGAACTTTTGCCCACGCTGTTCCAATCTCTTTTGTTTGTTTCCATGGTACCTTCTGCCGCTTTCAGCAGCTGCGCGTTCGTGAACTGCAGACAACGTGAACAATCTGTTAAACATTTCAGTTGCGCTGACCTTGCGTTTCCCTCACCTTCCTTCTCGACTTGGGAACTGAGCTAACTGAAAACCAATGTCAGAGTGTGAACCGCTCAGCCGTCCCACTTGGGTGCTGGGTGTGATCCTCCGCAAGGAGGCGCCGTTGTCATGCCGGAAATCGTGTCACAGATTCATCGTCCTTTCATCGTGAATCACGTTAACTGCCTTTGTCTCACTACTGAATTGTCGGAATCCAAAAGCCGCCGGGCTTCCACGGATATTCTGTGTCTCCAGACTTGGTATCGACATGTTTGCAAGAGCTCGTTAATCGAAAATTTTGCAGCTGCACTTTCGATTTCAAGGATGTGTCATAGATGTACAGGAAACGTCAGCTCACATTTCCACTATGATTCACCTATATTTCACACTTTTCAGCATGCCGGCGTTTTTTGAGAAAAAGCCGACGATGCCACCTTTTCATGTGCCTGCGCCGACTTCGGCTACCTGTGTGTGTCACCCCCTGTTCCTAAGGGCTCCGCTTTTCTTTCCACCACAATTGCAGGGGGTCGCTGGGGATTCGTGCAGTCAGCGACCAACGAAGACGCTGCACGTTTCCTGTGATATGAGTCGAGGACGCTCGACTCACGTACCTGCGACAGTTTTGAACTTTTGCCCACGCTGTTCCAATCTCTTTTGTTTGTTTCCATGGTAGTTCCACGATACTTCCCCCTAAACCTTTCCTTCTGCCGCTTTCAGCAGCTGCGCGTTCGTGAACTGCGGACAAGTGAACAATCTGTTAAACATTTCAGTTGCGCTGACCTTTTCACCTTGCGTTTCCCTCACCTTCCTTCTCGACTTGGGAACTGAGCTAACTGAAAACCAATGTCAGAGTGTGCCCCTTGGAGTCACAGGGAACCCTTTGGTTTTTTAAGAGCGGGGGAGTGCAGCATGATTGTGAGACCGCACTCAACGAAGCTACCACAAGCATGGGATACCGAGTCTGACTCACCTCAGCATACCTGCACTGTTACCGGAGCACTGATACCACTTGGTCCTGTTCCTAACTATAGAACAACTGTCTGGCCTTCGCAGGGGCTTCCTTCACTGCAGTCACGCCGCCCTCATGAGATGGTTAGACCGGACCGCTTTACATACCTTACTCCTGGCTTCTCATAGGCTTTCATACCTATATAGGTGGGGGCGCGGCATGTGGCATTCATTTTTCAGTACACCATATCTCGAGTGTGTGTTTGTTGTGCCTCAAATTGCAAGACCCTCCCAGGTCTTCACGCAGATCAGTCAAGCACCCTCTTCCCCTTCTTTGGACATTTGGACGGACTTCTTGGTCTTGCTCGCAGCGAAGCGACAATACCTTCCGGCTTTTTGCTGGAATCCCGTTTCAAGAATGGATTGATTGAAGGGAACATCTAAATCTACAGGAATCCATGAAAATCCCAACACCTATGATACTATGGGTGTCCTGTAGATGGTTTGGCTTGATAACCAATGTTCGGATTTCAACATCAACACGGTGTATTGAAATCCGGTTAGTTCGACTGCTGAGGCCCTCCAAAGCTGAAGCAACAATCTGACCAGCTCAAGCACCTGGTGGTGGTGAGACACAATCGCTTAAGGATTTTAGACCACCAAACATAGGTCACCGAACTCTTTTCATGTTCCAACAGAAGCCTATACCTGGAGTCACAGTTCATACCGTACATGGGGCTCCAGTCTTCCGCTGTTCTTCTTGTTCTGTTCGGCACGAACCGCTCTCCCACCCGGTCCGACCCTGGTTCCGCACATCGTCCCGAACCCGAACCGTGGCGTCTTCGTCCCGTCTCGATCCGTCTCAAGCGTCCCATTTTGGGATTCTTCTCCTCCACCGTCCAGAACTTGGAGCGTCCATGGTCGATCTTCTCTGGAATCACCTGCGAGCCGATCGAGCATGCACCGAGCTCGGTCGTGGATGTCGAACGAACCGGACCGGTCGGTGAAGAATCACCTAGCTGATCGACGGACCTAAGGAAGGAGGGGGATCGATGTGTGTTCGACCAGCGGTTTGTGTGTCCACCTGGACTCTCAAGAGAGTCCAGTGTAAGAATCCTGGGCTCGAAACAACCGGCCTTCCATGGTACAGTGGTGCAGTAGGGGTCGGACCCTCCATATAGCAGGAGTCCGGACCCTGACCCTCAAAACCCTATGTGTTTTCAGGGCCCAGATTCCTATATAGGAAATGCAGAATAAATGGAACACGTCCAACTCGGGTCTTCGAAAAGTATAAATCACCCATAGTCCAGGTGGGGTCAGCGGATGGGGTCGGATGGATGGTCCTTGCACAGTGACCTTACCTTGATCCCCCCTTGAGAGAACTTATTACCCTAGGCTTCCTGGACCACCCTTAATCAAATAAGCTGAATCCCGAATCAACTAAGGATTTTACACTACAAAATCCATGGTCAACCAAATTGTTCATGGTCTTGGAAGTCTTTAGGGTATATATCGGTCTTTACAGCTCACTCTCAGGCACTCCAAAGTTGGTTCGTTGGTTCCCTGTCAGTCAGTGAAGACTGAATTTGGCGGATTCCCACCTCGGGATGTCCACTCATCCAATCAAAGAAGCTAGGCTAAGTTCCATGGATTCAACCTTGATGGGACACATGCTGCAACCACGAAAACGCCTTCTTCCCATGCAGTGGTGCTCCAGGACACTCGCAAGGACGTGCCGCACCCTGATAGTGCTTCCTGACTCAGTTCCTAGGGCCTATCCTTCGGTCCACTGCTTCGATGTCTCAATTCAGATCAAGCGCCCAGTGTTCCGCGCGCGTTCACCGCGAAACGTCCAGTCGGACCGCACGATGGACCGCGAGCATTGAGGGTTCCTCCACCGTTGAGCACATCGAGCTCCGATCGATCCGCGGTGCGCCTCGTCCTTCATGAAACTGCCGGGCAAGTTCTGTTTCGGCTTCACATAGCCAGTCAAAGGACCCCCTGAGTTCATTGAAAAACACGGCCGCTCCATGGGACTGCCATGCTGAGAAAGGGCAAGGGCTTTTGGTGCGGACCCCTTGGGGGGTGAATGCAGGTACCCTACACCTCCGTTTTCGTACCTCCTCAGGTTCCGTAGGACTGGACCCTCCTGGCACCTACCCCAGTCCCACCTTCTCAGGTTCGGTACGACTGGAGGCCTATAGGGCTATAGTAGATACGTACTCCAGTCCCATGCAGTGTCCCGGGATTGATCTGAACTGGCATGTCTTTTTTTGTCCAACGCGCACCACGTCGAGCATCAGGCTGCATCTGGGGATTGCTTAAATGTGTGACTTGTAGATAAGTGGCTTCTGGATCGCATGTCGCTGACCAACAGCTCAATGCTACTCCACCTCTAAAATCACGCAAAGAGGCCAAGAGGCACAAAGAACAATCTACAAGAACTTCTACAAGAACAACTTCCTTCTCCTCCCCTTCCTCCACCTCCTCCTCCTCCTTGATGCCAAAGAATCATCGGATTGACCATATTTTGAGTTTCGACCACCTCAACATCACACGTGACACACATTGCGGTCGAAACAACCACTGATAACGCACCACCACAGCAGCAGCAGCAGCACGTCCATGAAAGCCACTTCGAACCCATGAAGAAGACACTCCCAAAGGCTCCAAGGCACCATAGTCTCTCTTGATCTGCAAGGGACCCCCGTAGTACCTCATCCGCAGTGTAGGCAGAGCCCGAGCAGCCCCCGAATCTGCGGCTTTCAATGGGTTTTTGCATGGTTTTTCGTTCCTCACAGGTTGTGGAGATAGAGCCATGTGGATCCTGGTTCAAAAAGCCATTAACCCTACACCTCCAGTCGTACCTCCTCAGAAGGTATGACTGGACCCTCCTGGCACCCACCCCAAACACCTTCTCAGAAGGTACTTGGAGGCGTAGGGTAACACATCTCCCAAAATCCCTGAAAAGGTTGGCGGTGTCCAATCTCCATCAACACCTCCCCATGGATTCTCCTGTTAAACAAAAGGATACTGGGGGGCAAAACATGACACAGTTTGCTTGGAGACTTGGCTCAACCTTCGCTCCAATAGGCCTTTGTGACCCAATCCCAGCTATCATATGTCTCTGAAAATGAGTCTGCAAAGAATCTCTGCATGCTCACAACCTTGGCATGTGTTACATTTACATACACTTCTTATTCTTGTGATATGTTCACTGAAGCAACCTGATCCAAGTGGTTAAAACTGTCCAATGTTCCACTGGAATTGGACCTGTATGCTTCTTATCACCCATCCCACCCATCCCATCTTCCCATCTTTCACTCACTCATCACAGACGGAATCCCTGCCCACCCGCCGCACATGTGACATCACTCCTCAGCTCCAAGTGACCAACAGACTGGCATACTGAGAGCATCTCCAATGAGCGCGCCCCACAGCGCGCCGCGCACGCGGTCCGCATCCAGGTGCAGCACGGGAGGCGCGACGAGCTGAGATCCCGAGGAGCTGAGGCAGCGCGGGACCTGCGATTCGGAGCGGCGAGTGGACGTCTTGGACAGAAGCGTGAAAGGTCCAGTTCTTGGGCTGAGAAACCATACGAGATCAGTTCGAGTTCTTTCTATTCCTTCTCATCTCTTCTAATCAGGCCTCCAAGTACCTTCTGAGAAGGTGTTTGGGGTGGGTGCCAGGAGGGTCCAAATACCTTCTGAGGAGGTACTTGGAGGTGTAGGGATAGGTTGAACATGAAACGATCTGAAGCCACCCCGCAAATATAGGATTGGCATCCATGCAATATGGCATTGGGATCATTGTGATGGGGTCAGTTGATTTGTTTCATGCTCTTCACCCAGTCAATTGTTCGGTTCTGGTACCCTATGACTCGTATCCCAGGCACACGCTCCTGCCGCTGTCAGCGCACCTCGTCGGTTTCTGCCCAAATCTGTAAAGGTCGCTCTTCTCGATGCCCATCACTGGGATAGCCCATGGGCTGCTGTAAGTAGCGGATCCTTTAGCTGTATGGAGAAAGAAAGCTGCAAAAGAAATGTTAACCCCCAGTTGACCCAAATACCTTGGACATAGAACTATTCCCATACTCTTGGAGAGGTAAGCATTCTTAGTAGCTTCTCCCATGGGATTAAAATAGTGAATTGAAAGTAGATGGCACAATCCTCAAAAAGGTGGTTTATATGGACCACTATCTAAAGGACATGTATAGGGCTTTGTGCCATCTACCCGAAACCACTGTAACACCCATTCAACTCCCGGAAGAAGTTGACTTTCTTCTCTCCAAGCATCCCCTCATAAACGCGATCCTGTCCCACATGCGAATGGCCATAGACATGACCTCGGCCATGCACAAGAACATGTCTGTTGAGGGACGATGTCATATAGGTCAATTCAACTTAACTGACCAGTTTGAGAAGTTCAGAAGGGCTGGTAGTTGACCGACTGCTAAATCACCACTACCAACATGGCGATCACCTCTGCTATCCGCTTCAAGTTTGAAATGGACAGGAAGCTGGAGCTCAGAAAGCACTCCCTTGTCCTGCGTGACTCTACCTGGGCCCGACTTCAAACACCTTCGAACATTGGGACATGACTCGACCCAAACATGCAGGTATGGCCTGAAACCCATCTTCCGAATCTTCCGAGGTATTTTCACGTCTCCAGGTCGTCATGAACGCACCTTCTCCACCCCACGAGGCTTCTTGTGAACGCACCCACTCCCTTGGTGACCCACAGAATCGGTGGCCCAGGTATGACATGGGTCACTCCCTTCGCGTGCAAAAGCGTGAGTAACACCCTACCAGGCTACCAGGGGCTAGTGGCTATGTGAATTCCACCCTACGGCCAGCCGGCCAGCCAGCCCATCTTCTGACCAGCCAGACTTGGTGATCAGTCCCCTCCGACTCCTGCCCAACCGAGAAGAATCAACGAACGGAGATACCAGAAGTCACAAAGGGGGTGCCTATTATTGGAGGATATGATAGGGGTGCCCGACAGTCACATCCACTCACCTGGGGACTTTTCAGACCACCCCGACTTGTGACTCCTGGAAACATCTTCATATCTCCATAGCGGTCGCCGGGCGTATTTAAGATGTCTTATGTCTTCATTCACCAACATGACCAAAAAGATCAAATCCATCTCTTCCATAAAACATGCGTTGTTTTTGATAGACATTGAAACATTTATCAACCAAAAAAAACACATCGATGTATGCGCAAAAGATCCATCTAAAACCTTCGCTGACCAAGGGCCCCCTTGCAACTCTTGACCAAATCTATATTGGACCGTCCCGCACTTCTCACCCAGTGACCAATGGCATGTGCTGTGCGGATCTGTCGTTCCAGCTGCACATCGCCACAGGTGCCAGGCATCATCACGTGGTGAGCGCCGGAGAGGTTGAGCTCTTTCCGGGGCAGAAAGTGGTGTGAGAAGGTCCACAAGGTCTGGAGCTTGCCTGTCTCCTGGTCAAAATTTGAAACAAAAACATGAGATGAACCATTAGGAAGCTGATATGTTTGTTTACAAATTGCTGACTAGATTAGATCATATTATATAATCAATTCGATATTGTGGGGTCAAATCAATGGGGGTGAATCGTATTGCAAAAGAAACTGCTCGGAGAGTATCTACACCAACCCTTCGTGTGTTTCATATCCACCTTGACCCTCCCGAGTAGCTTGGAAAATTGTTGGAAGCCCTCGGTCTTGTTTTGGGAGAGGGGCACGTCAAGGTCGACCTTAACAAAAGGCTCTACTTTGGGTAGTATATCCTAGTACTAGTAAAGTGGATGATGGTTAGGTTGCAGGCCTTTCCACTCTCTAAAATAGCGATTAATAATTCCTATTAATGTGCAAATATGTGAAACGCAAACTCTTTACTGACTGTTACAGGCTTTCCTGGGACACACCTCCAAATATTGGTCTGGAGTCGACCCGGAACTCGTACCTCGGACAATGGGGCCCCAGTGGTACCTGTTTTGTAAGGGGGTCAGACGTCCCATTTTCCTAAGAGGTACGAAGGGGTCGACGTCCTGGTACCTCCAGGTACAAACTACAGGACGTGAGTCCGGACATCACCCTGTTGGACCAGTCTTCCGAAGACCCAACAGGTACTGCAAAAAGCCTCCTCCCTTGACTCCCTTCAGCCTTTTGGGCCGCGTCCGTCCCTCGGTCCCGAGACCGGCCGGTCCTGCAGGACGGAGGCCTGTGCGACCCGTGTTTGATTCCTTAGGTGGTGGAAGCGGAGGAAGCAGCGGCCGCGCTTTTTTTTTTCAGCGCCACACCGAAGACGAACATGATCACTATCCCGTATACACCTCCGTTTTCGTACCGAACCGCTTCGGTTCGGTATGACGACCGACCCGACTGGCTGGCACCCGGGCCACGGTCGTCCCACTGAACCGAAGCGGTTCGGTACGACGGGAAGCCTAGGGTATCTTTCCTGATTGATGGGGATAAACATAGTTTAAGGAAAACAACTTATATAATAACTAGCAACTCCATGATTCAAACGGAGAAAGAACTCCGCAATCCACGGCACCTGCGGGTCATGCGCATCCTCGGACTCCATCTCCTCAGGTCACCAGAGGTGAGGATGGTGGTCGTGCGGAGATGGTGAGAACACCCGGTCAAACACCTTTTGAAGAACCACAACAAAGGATTGAGGGTGGGTGGGTGGGTGGGTTGGGGTGTCAGTCCCACCTTCTTAGAAGGTTTGGAGCCCTTTGGGGAGAAACAACCTTTGAAGAACCACAACAGGATTAGAAATCACACTAAAAGGATCCTGGGACGCTGGGACACTGCTTTTCGCAGGGGGGTTGCCCTTGTTTTTTGTGGTTCCGGAACCTTAGGGCAAAGGACCATCTCCATCGGATGTCCAGAACATCCGCATGTGCCAGCTGCTCATGTCGTCTCAACACCTCCGAAAACACCCAGAAGGAAGGAAACTGGCGAAGAGGGTGCACCAAATGGTCCATATTCTACTGACAAACAAACCAAAAGATCTTCTTTGCCCTAGTCTGCGTGAACGATATAGCTCAGGCTCTGCCACAAAGACCCATGCACGAACACTTCTACTGAAAGCCAATCATCCAATCAAAGATGAACAGCAAACGATCTCTATTCCAGCATCCTTCAACAGGTCACCACCTGTGACTGTCTTTTGTCTGCAAAAAGCCTCCATTTCGGAGACCTGTAGAGTCGGGTGCTGGTGGTTGCCTGCTCATAAAAACCGTTTCCCCCGCATCTGCAGACTCGTTGAGAAGTGTCCAGAGATACCTGTCAACTGACATTGTTCAAAGCATCCATGCCTGGATCTTCCAACTGTGACAAATTCCTGCCTCTACATCCATAAAAAATAGCGCAAAGGCAGAAATTGTTATAGTTGGAAGATCCAGGTATATATCGCCTATGGTCGATACCACACGTATCGGTACAGTCTGACGTGTGCTTCTTGCTACGTCGTCCCTCCTTCTTTGCCCTCTTTTCTGCGTGCCCTTCTGTAGCTACACTCCCCATGTACTCCACCGCCACCCTGACTCCGTTGCCGTTGGGTCTCGGGCCAATAGGTGGACGTGTCGAAGCCCTTGTGATGCACAAAGCTGCCAGAGAAGTCTCCGCGATACCAGGAGAACAAGGGACACACTGCCACGCCTCAGCATCCAGGAACATCATTCTGGGGATCATGGTGTACATGAGGCCATCTCGAAAAGGCGTACCTTGCAGCAACCAAGCAATTTGTTGGGCGAGAAGAAGTATTTGTCTCCAAATTGTGTGTGAACTGTTCACCAAGATAGAACCGGGCTTGTTGGGTGGGGAAGAAAGCTGATACTGGGTGTTTTCCTAATCAATCATTCCTAAGCTGACGCCCGTGATTTTCAACTCAATCTCCCTGCGTCGCTCCAATGGCTCTCTCAAGACTCGCCAGGGGAAGGATGGGAGTGGTCCTGAAAGCTACAACAGTTGGTCGCTCAGAACACCCCAAACCCACAAACACATACACAGAACCCACACGGACCAAAAAAGAAACAACACATGTACTCACTTTGCTCTGGATGAGGGATGATTGTAAAGGGTCATTGAACACACATACACTGGTTTGAGGTCACTTAGGCCTGTATAAGGACTCCAAAGTTCCAAAGTTTGGTCAGAGTCGCTGAAGCAGTCGCTGAAGTTCAGTGTCTTTCTGCTCTATTTGACGCGCAGATCTACAAGGTCAACGACACATTCACAAGTTACACTCCCAGCCACGCTCCATGTCTGCCATCGGACTGCCTTCAAAACGGCCAGGGGTGGTTTGAGGCCTGAGGGGCCACTTGATCGGTATATTCCAGTCCGGATGGTCTGGGAATGGCGGACTCGCCCGGTGGGTCACCGCCCTCGGCCGGTGACCCGCCGTTGGGTCGGTCGCCACCGAGAATCCAGGAGCAATGAAGGCCGGGTGGGTGAAGACTCCCAACCTCCGGAGCTGCGAGGACCGGGAACCGGGAACCGGATGTTTGTTGTGACACCACAAGATAGAACAAGCAAAACACCACATGATATAGACCTATAGAACTCAAGATAACTCAAACATGCCCTCTGTTTTGATGGGAAAAAAATAGGATGTTGGGGTCCAAGTTATAGATTTTTATATTGTGCACACGGGCACCACAAACTATCAAACACATGGTTTTCCCCAAAAGACATGTTTTTTTGCAGGTGAAAACTGTTATGTTTCATATTTGAGTTTTGATGGCCACTGGTATATCCCGTTCCCTGTAACTTGATGGTTTAATGCAGGCCTTGCTCCAAAGTAGTGATGTTCTTGTTTGCCCTTCCTGTTACAGGAAAGGCCAACGATCCCCAAATTATAAATAACGTCCACCCACCTTCTTAGAAGGCACGACTGTCCAAACACCTTCTGAGGAGGCACGACTGGAGCCCTAGGGAATAACATCAGTCCTTGTGAGTTTGCTATAAGTCCTTGTGAGTTCATCCTTTCCCCTAAAACAAAGAACGGAGCTTGGGAGCGCAGCTCCGGAACGAGCACCACGCCCCAGCGGACTTGTGCTCGTTCCGATCTCGGTTCTTCCCGTTTGGGAGCCGTGTTTCGTACCGAACCGACCCGGTACGGTGAGGAAGGAGACACTCAGACATGTAGGGACTTGGAGGGTCCAGTCGTACCGAACCTGAGGTTCGGTACGATAGGGATTTCTTAGGGGGGCCGTTTGGGATGCTCGTTGGATAAGTGTTTCTTTTCGGAACCAACGAGGATCATCCCAAAAGAATCATAAAATATCTGCGACCGACTCTCGATGGCTTCGCCTGGCGCAAAGGGCTAAGATCTCGTTGAACTTTTGCAGGGAAGTCTGTTGCGGTCGGCTGGAGCCAGCTGCTTCCTTCACCACCCAAAGCTCGTGGTTCCCAGGCACATAGAACACCACCTCGTCAGGTCATCCATGTCTGGCGGAACGGGAACGGGATTAGGGATGAACCCTGACCCGGAAGGAAGAAACCTAGCACTTCCAACGGGTGCCCTGTCTGGAGACCTGTAAGTAGGGTGGGGTAGTCTATTGGACACCCATTGGATGACCCTGGAATGTAACTATCTATTGATCAAGATTGCTTCGTGGGAAAAAAAACAAGTTAACAAACACATCAGCAAAGGGCAGCCATCAGTTACAACAGGGTCACCACACCCACCGCCACAAAGCGATCCTACGGATGTGGTGCCCCAAACTTGCCGGGTAGCAAGGTACAAAGCCCAGTTCCCTACATGGGACAGGAATATTGACCTACATTGACCCCTTTTCAACCAGTGCAACATAATATTCCATACCCAAACACTCCATTATATGGCATATTTACCTGCATTGTGGTGGTGCCAGAGGGGTTCAATTGATCGGCATATATATATATATATATTCCAGTCCCATGGAGTGTCTGGGATAGATGGATTGTCTGGGGTACTACTGGGCTCTATGATGCTCTATGGCAGGTGCCATGATAGATCTCCAGAGTTCTAGGCCCCCACGTGTCCCCTCTAGGCGTGGGAGCATGTACTGTGAATGGACCGGCAAACAGGCGGCTAGAAATCCATGGCAGCTGCAAAAGAGTCAGGAATCTATCTAAATCCTTGCGGACAACAAACCACCCAAAATATGACCAGCCTTCCCATGAAGGTAGTGCTCAAACAAAAACTTTCACCTACAGGACCTACACACTCACATGACACATGCCTCACCCAAAATGACATGTCTTCCCCTTCCACCCCTTCCGCCACCCGATGACAGCGATGCATATCCCCATCGGACCCGAGACAGCGAACTCTCTGGCCTTGAAGCGTGCCTGGCAGAGCTTCAAGGCCTTCTCCAAGATGTCCAAATTGGTGCAAACGTCTCCAGCAACGATCAGCGCAGCCTCCTGAACGCGGCAAAAACGCGGCGGAAAGACGCTGCGTCTCAACGCTGCGTCTAGCGGCTGAAAAGAAACCACGAGGAAGTCAGAACGATCGAACATCACAGAGACGGCGTCTTAGGTGATCGAAGCAAATGGAAGCATGAGTGGAGTGGACCTTTAAACAGATAATGATTAAGAGGAGCTTCAAAGATCTTCAAAGGGTCTAGTGTGCTTCAAATGGCCACTTTTTCATGGATGAACTGTGTCCGTTTTTCGTTGTTTTTCTTTTCCCACGATCACAGGGTCTTCTCAAGATTCAAAACCATTAAACAACCAATTCATCACACTGCCAAGAACCTCTCCTGATCTCCCGCCATGCCTTCCAAATGCCTCATATTTTCTCCCATGTCGATGTGCAGGTCGCTCCAGGCTACGAGCCGCTGGCACGCCAGCTGCGGCCAGGGCAGTGAGGGCAGGAGCTCTTTGGAGTGTCGATAGACCTGCTGCCTCGCCGTCACAGGGACGAAGGGAACGAAAGGGCGGTCTGCGGCGCGATGGAGATCGAGCGGCCTTCGATCCTGTTTGGGGCCAAAGCGGTTTGGAATGGACAAAGGGTGTGGTACGTGAACATGATGGTACGTGAACATGTTCTTCTCCACATTGTTCAGGCAGAAAACGACGAACATGTGACCGGACCATAAGAGCCAAGGTGACTCCCGGACACCGTCTTTCCATCGTCGAACTTCCTAAAACACCGGGGCGAAACGCCCGCCCGCGGCAGGTCAGACCGGTCATCGGTTTGCTTCAGCCACCACTCAACTACTCGACTTCGGCAAAAGGATCGAGGGGGCGGGTGGAGCGGGTGATCCAGGAGTTCTTGTTCATGCTCGACCACGAAGAAACCCCACTCTGCACCTGAATGGAGGGTCCTCAACCCTGAGAATGGATTCGGATCTCCCCACTCTGCTCCTGGGTGTGTACATGAAGTCGACCCGTGAAAATACTAGACCTGGGAAAATGGGTACTAGTATGGTACCGTATATACCTATTAGGGTCATGTCCCATTTTTTAAGGGTACTTTGGAGACTGCAGGTACCTTCACCAGTCCCCAATCTTCTACCAGTCCCCGGTCATGACCCCCGCGCAGGCGAGCTGCAGTTGAGGTGGCCAATCCTTGTAATTCACCAGCAATGGGCGGCCCTTCAAGCTCAGACTCACCTAACGAGATCTTGGCATCAACGAGATCGACTTCTGAACTCTGAACTTCTTTCTTGCAATGATCGACTATAGACGTGGTGCCTTACATAAGGCCCTCCTCTGGACATTGCAAACACACCTAGGGATCCAAGTAAGTATCAGGTTCGCTACGACTGGACCCGACCTCCTGGCACCTATATATATATATACATGTCTTAGTGTCTCCGTCCTCACCTTCCGACAACTTGGATCCCTCGAGGACTGCACATCCAACGTCACACCATCACTTGGTCTGTCAGGGCACCCATCCGGTGGCAGGCCCAGTGCGTGAGATCAACTCATAGCACAAGCGTTCACTCTCCAACCTGGGCAGTTGAGCCAATCATGTGTGACAGAGGAAGGTTGAAGATTGCGAGTCTTTGCCTAAATAAAACTTGGCTGGTTCAACCACCACTGCAACACAAAGCCAATACGATACCCATACTTATTTATATATCTTGTCGAACTGATTGATGTGCTTGTTGGAGGATTCAAAAAAAATCGGCATATAGTTCCTAAATTGCCATATCATGCACTCCATCAAGCTACTGAACTAACCTCCATTCTCGAGAACTTAGTCACTGTGTTCCTTTCATGGACTATAACTATAGTTATAGAGGCCGCACCAGATCCAGACCCAATCGACCGAGGAACTTCACTTCTCGCACCAACGCTCCAGTTGGCAGTCGCTCTTCCAGCTGCGTGGATGAGAGGCTCTGCCCTTCACGTACCACCAGGCCTCCCTTCTCGCCGCCACCCACCACCTCCCACATGTAGTTCAGATCCAGATGCTGACCCTGGTAGACCACAGAGATGGCAGATGCAGGAGGATTTCTTTATCCTTCAGTCCTGGTGAGGTCAGTCAGTCCCGATCAGCTGGCGCCATGGCGCTCTCTCACTGCTCGCTGAAACAAGTCAAACAGTCAAGCAAGGCAGTACTACTGGTTGCATCTGATTGCTGCTTCAGCTGGGGAGGCCTGAAACAAACAGCTCTGCGTACCAGTTGTACCAGTCAAAGCGCTCTCGACCCACCCTCCTCAACCCACCTGCCGGGTGAGCAGCTGCCGATCCAGGGAGCGGCCGGCGTGTTCGAACCGGTTCGGCGACGGTAGCGGTCGGCGTGGTTCGATCCGACGGTCGGGCGTTGTGGCCCTTGGCACGGAAGGCGACCGTTTTCGCCCCTTGGCACGGGATCTGAAATCAGCTTCGAAGCCATAGAGCTCCGTACCCATACCCAGACACGACTAATGGGACTGCCGTATATGCCGATCAGTTGGGTGCCAGGGGGGGTCAATGTATACTAATTATATGGCATACTAGGAGTGTCTGGGATATAATCCTCAGAAGGGTGGGCACACCCCCCCATGGCACCCCAAAAAACCAACACCGAACCTGAGGAGGTGTCCCTCCCTGGACGCCGGCCGCGCGCGAGGAAAGCCTGGCGCGCACCCAACGGTGAACACGACGTTGGACGGTTCCGCACCTCCGATGACGAGAAGACCAAGGTGTCAATGACCTCCTGCCAGGGCGGGGTCGTGACTGACGGAAGCTCCACGTAAGTATCCTCTCGGCCGCAGGATGGGTGGATTTGTTTGGAAGAATTTGGGGTGGAATATATCCCTTCCCGAAGTAGACATCCATGGAACAATATGATGAAGAATCAATTGTTATGTCTATAGTTAATGTTTCCATATTGTTTTCTAGTCTAACACAGTCAATCACTGGTTTCTCATAATTGTGTTCATCTTTGTTCCAGTGTTTGTGCCAATGATTGACTGGCCCTCAATGTTCTTCCTTCATGGTCAGCCCTTCACGGCGGTCCGGGATCACACCCCGTTCACTCACGGTGAGCGTTCCACTGCGTTTGGAGTGCACGGAACACGTCCAGTCCGTCGTTGTTCAACCTCGGTCGAAACAACTTGGAAGACTCATACCTATAGATCTTCCAACTATATGCAACATTTATGGTCTTTATACACTAAAAGGCAAAAAACAATTGCATAGTTTGGAAGATCTATATGAGACCGTGGTGGGAACCAAAAACATGCCAAACACCCTATCGCGCCGACTTGCCGAGACACTCAGCATCGTCCTTTGTTCTGTCACGTCAAACCGGAACGGCTCACCGCGGATGCGGGGGAGCCTGCTCTTCGCCGAGGCCGTAAAAGGCGGAGACCTGCTTTGGCATGGAGAAGGGACAAGGTTCATCCAAAAGTGGCCTTCGTTTGGGGAGTATTGAACGTATCTTATATATTTAGTCGTGTTAATGTTTTTTCCTGCATGGGCTAAACATGGCTAAATTTGGTCCTCCCTTCGTTTGGTTGGGGTGCTCAGGCTCTCCGGCTCTCCCCCCACCTTGCAAGAGGGGAGCCAGAAAAAGGGAGGGTTGTCGGGTTTGCACCTGGCTCCTGAGCTGCAGGGTCCCCCCTTCAAGGGTCTGATGATCGTTTCCCTGCGTCCAACGTCTGCTCCAGCTGGCCCGGTGCCATGTGTACACCGAATACAACTACTCCAGGCCGGCAGGACACCAGCTTTTTCGATGGTGACCTAGCGAGACTCAGTCATGTGGTAAATTCTTTGCTGTCTTTCATCCCCCTGCGATCAGGCTTTAAAAAAGAAACACACATTCCCCCAGGAATCCTGGGGATCTCCATGGCAGTGGCGGACCCGACCCCTCCATGGTGGGGTCCAGCTGGTGGTTTTGAATTGTGTAGAACGTCAAACACCTTGCCCAGTGGGTCAACGCACCAGTTTAACCAGTTCTGTAACGCGCCAGTTTCACCCGTCCTTAGGTCAACTCGGCGACCGCTTCCGGGCCGAAGGGGACGTGCCGGTGCCTCGACGCGGTCTCGCCAGGGACAAATCGCACCCCAGCCACCTGAGACGAGAGGAACTCATGTGGCAGGATGACCCCAACTATGCCAAACACAGCTCTGACACTGTGATGGAGGCCCGGTGGAGTGGGTTTGCTTTGTTGGTTTCTGACAGTGTGTTTAACAATTTTGTTCGGAGCTCTGTGTGGTGAATGTAGTTGCTGACATTGTACACCTCCAAAGGCAGCCTGAGTGCAAATGTGATCCATATCCCAGACACTACATGCATGCCATATTTGCCTACATTGACCCCCCAAACCACCTGAATGTAGGCAAATATGGCATACATACTGGCTGCATGGAGTGTCTTGTTATCATATGACATCCACAAAGCGTACCAAGTACTAACATACCAGCTGTACGAACTCTTCACGTCGATTTTGCACACGCCTTCTCGTCTGGGTACACAGAAAAAACACAAAATCAAGCTGCCTCACACACTTCCAATGACCTGGTCAGGTCAGACGCCTAAGTAGCATATAGCCATCTTTAATTATCTTCTATTTCTATCATTGCACATTAAATAACCTTTTGAATATTTTATCTCTTCGGACGGATTCTTTTGTGACTAAAACCATCAACAACTCAAATTTCTTATATAATATTTTTGTCATATAAAATTGTGATTTATTACATATAATTTCAACTTTGTAACACCATTGTGTCTTAACATATCTCATGAAGAGCCTGTAAAATTGTAACAATCAAATCCTTTAGAAAGCCAATGAACATAAGTCTTTTAACTAAAATTGGTTGATGTTAACCAAATAGTTAGAGAAACGACTGAACAACATACAGTTTAATTAGCCCAGCTGGAGACCCCAATAGCAAGATACAAACCGGGACAAAAAGAAAAATCTGGAAAAACCTGCTGTTTTCAACACATCGACCATCTCTTCCTTGGACACCATCATCACATAACCGGGACACCATCACAAAATGACCAGGGCACCATCAAAACATGACCGAGACACCGTCACAACATGACTGGGACACAATCAACACAACATGACCGCGCCACCATCACATGATCGGGACACCATCAAAACATGACCGGGACACCATCACAACATGACCGGGACACCATCAAAACATGACCGGGACACAATCACAACATGACCGGGACACCATCAAAACATGACCGGGACACCATCAAAACAGGACCGGGACACCATCACAACATGACCGCGCCACCATCACATGATCGGGACACCATCAAAATGACCGGGACACCGTCACAACACGACCGGGACACCATCAAAACATGACCGGGACACCATCACAACATGACCGGGACACAATCACATGACCGGGACACCATCAAAACATGACCGGGACACCATCACAACATGACCGGGGCACCATCAAAACATGACCGGGACACCATCAGGACCGGGACACCATCACAACATGACTGGGACACAATCAAAACATGATCGCGACACTATCACAACATGACCGGGACACCATCAAAACATAACCGGCACACCGCCAAAACATGACCAGGACACCATCACAACAGGACCGGGACACCATCAAAACATGACCGGGACACCATCAAAACATGACCGGGACACCATCACAACATGACCGGGACACCATCACATGCCTGGGACACAATCACAACATGACCGGGACACCATCAAAGCATGACCGGGACACCATCAAAACAGGACCGGGACACCATCACAACATGACCGCGCCACCATCACATGATCGGGACACCATCAAAACATGACCGGGACACCGTCACAACA